ACCATTAATCACTGACTTCAGGTACACAGGCTATAACTGTATTACCAATGAGTTGCTGGCATATAAAGCAGTCTTCCTACTCTACACACCTGAGTTTTCGTTCACTGCTTCATACAAAGAATTCAATTTATTCATTTTAGTCAAAAAGGACATTAGTCTTGGTCTCAAGGAAATGGAAAGGCAGGACAAAGCACAGAGCTAACTCCTCATATTTTCTATTTAAATTGAAAAAAGTACCCTATAAAATGATAGTGCCAAAAATTAAAATAAAAATAATAAAATACATAAAATAGTGCCAATTCTGCCAATAGGAAAATAAGCAGAAAGTATGAGCTCAAGGAAGACCCAAGGCTTCAAGAGTATTTGCAAAAAAGTGCCAGCGAGATAGTTCAGTGGTATGAGGACAACAATATGCAATATATTAATTATTGAAGCTGTCCTATTAATCGGTTTTGACACTGTCTCACTGCTATGTTTCTCAATAAAATTAATAATAAAACTTAAAATAAAAAAGCATTTCAGGGCTGGTGAGATGGCTCAGTAGTCTAAAGCACCTACTTAGAACAAGCTTAGCAAAGCACTGGGACCGCGGTTCGATCCCCCAGCACCACATGCCAGCCAGCCCCGCCCCCTGGTGGGCTGAACTGGCCACACACACACACACACACACACACACACACACACACAAATAAATAAAAAAGCATTTCAATATCAAAAAAAAAAAAAGAGTTCAGCAGACTAAGCACCTGCTTCAGCAAGCTCAGGGACTGGGGTTCAACACCTCATACCACATGCTACACCGGCCCTGCCTCCAGGCCCACTGAGTGGGCCAAGACCAGGCATGGTGGTGCATGTCTGTAATCCCAGTGCTAGGGAGACTGAAAACAGGAGGATCATTGGGAATTGTGTAGTAAGACCCTGTACCAAATACACTTAAAAAAAAAAAAAAAAGTATTTGTGAAACGTTGAGGTGGGGAAGGGCCAGCAGTGATATGAGCCACTCAGCCAGCAAGTCCTGGACCTACCCTGGTTGAAGCATTTGTCTCACACCCTCCAGCCTTGTAGCAGTCCCCTAAGGCACACTGTGTGACACCTCTAGGAGCATGTGGCCATGGAAAACCAACTACAACATACAGTAAAGTGACTGAAGAGGTGAAGGTTAGCACCTGGGTCCTGGGAACAAAGCCCCAGGTCCCCAGACTTCCCCCAGATTTGAAGACCTAACTCGCTACCAGGCATTCTCTCTCCCCAATTTTCTCTCTTCTGCTGGGTGTGCAGAAGGCCCAAGAAAGAGATGAAGCTTGTAACTTTCAAGTTACTTTGGTTCCATGTAGGTGCTTCAGGGGTTCCGCTCAGATTTGACTAGTTTTTCTCCATGTGTATATGTGTTTACTGTTTTAGAACAGTAAAGTACTATTTAGTACAAGAGAAAGCAACCTTCACCTTGAAGGGCACTGCAGAGTGTATGTTAACCCACTGAAGAATTCCGCCCCATTAATTTGCTAAAATGGAGCGCCCTCTATTATCTGTTTAGAAGGGGCTTCTGAGCACCTGAGATCTTGAGGTAAGTGAACATGATCACCACTTTTATGCATCTTCTCCTTACCATACAAAGCAAGATTTCATCACTCAATACCCATTCCAAATATTTGCACTACAATCCTTGATACTCTTAGTCACTGTCTTTTTAAGTAAAGGTTATAAATTTGGAACCGAACCATTTATACTAGTGAAACAGTGCATTTGTTTTGTGTGTGTGCACATGCGCCACATTGTGCATGTTATTCATTTGATGAACAAAGAATCTAACTTTAAAAAGAACAAAGCACAAGACTAAGCTGCTACAGAAAGTAGCAGTTTCAACACCCTCCCCATAGTCGGGACAGTACTCTGTCAGTCTTCTTGGTTATCCTGATGTCTTATCTTTTCCAATTTAATGCTGGGCAAATGGAGGCTCTAAGAGTAGAGCTCCAGTGTGAACCAATCCAAAGCCTATACTCTTACCATCTACAAATTCAGAAGCCATACGATCTCATGAGTGAAAGGTCTTGACACTTACTATATTTGGTACTAGGGCTCTTCTGGAAGGGAAGGGTGAATGGATTTGTTCAGGATTTCTGAGGTGACTCAGAAAGCATCTTCAATTCTTGGTCTTATGGTCACGGGGGTAAAGAGCGGAGGGCACCTCAAAGGTCACAGAGACCTTATGACCTGGTGATGGGCTACAGGCTTGAGAAGAAACCCATAGCCAATATATCCAGGAACAGGAGCTGGTTCTGCCAAGCAGTGACCCCAGGAGCACACTTCCAATGGCAAGAGGAAACATGTTCTGAGCCTTGCAAGTGAAAAGAACCAGTATGGATCAAGTGTAAAAACATGGAGTTTAAAGCATACATTGAGGATTCTGTCTTCCATAGGCCCTGGGAGAGAGAGCCACTAGAAAGCTATGAAAGAGATGCCTTGTTTCTCTTGCCAGCCTTCTTTTGGGATCTCTCCTTTAAAGGCTTTGCCTGTCATGCTTTGCTACCTAAAGATGATGGACAGCCAACCCTCAATTACCCACAAATGGATTAGCTATATGAGGATTAACTAAGCAAAATTCAAATCCCAGACTGGACTGGCTTTCCTCACCCCATTACCCCCTGATTATTTCTCAAGAAATGAAAGCTAAAGCCTGAGCAAACCTAGCAATGTAAAATCTACTGCCAGGGGTGGTGGGGGACCCACACATAAACAACAAAAACTGTCACTGTTACAAAACTAAAGTCAAAGTGATTGTTGGTTTCTCTCTGCCAGGAAAGACCCTGTGTAGCTGGAGTCCTCAGGGTTTTCTGGGGTAAACTGTGGAAGTATGAGTCCAAGTCTAGGCCCACCAGAAGCTCAGAGAACACAGAACTTGAGAAGCCAGGGCATATGACCCAGGAGAGAAGTCACTGACGGAAAGATAGATCTCAAAGGGGACACCCAGCACCTCTATGCTGGGTCTACTCAGGAGAAAAGCACTATTCTAGAAACAAGGAGAAGACAGAGGAATCTTGATGAGAAGACAGCCAGCTGGCTGCAGAATGCTGACTGCTTGTGGTGCCTAGGCAGCCTACCATTGTTAGAAGGCAAACCTGCCAGGCCCTGGTCCAGCCCGGTGAAGCTTGGGACATCATCACCCAACACTGAGCCAGTCATGCTTGCCTCCCACATTTCCTAAAGCTTTTCTTCCTGACATCAAGCAGCTGGGAAATGAGGGACCAAATGGTACCAAGGACACTAACTAGTGCGTGCCCCTAAGCCTGGTGGTCTTCAAAGTCTGGTAGCCTCAGGGAGCACTTTGAGCAGCCCATGAAAATCGAAGGACAGTGCATGGAGATCCAGCTCCATGGGCCCTGCTAGCCTTCGTTTTTGAGCACAGCCCAATTCATTCCTTCTCTAACCAGCCTGAGAAATGGGGCTGTTGGGAGCAATGAAAGATCTGAGCTACTCTAGCCTTCAGCTGAACTGCACATAAATCTAGCAGTGCCTGGGGCATGTGGGTCATTGAGACCCAGACCATGCCTCACACTTCATGCCTCTCCCTTCAGATGGCCTTTCCCCCTAAACTGAAGTACCAGTCACTGTAACTGGCTCCTCTAATTGTTTGCAGCACTTGGAGTAGCTAGAGGTATGGCTCACAACCAGCTTATGGGGGTGCAAGGAACCAACTTCCAGAGAGCGTTCCATCTGACACTTTCAGCATGCCACACACTATGCCAAACAGATGCCCCTGCCCTTTAAGCAAGCTCAGGCCCTGAGCATGAGAGCCACTAGGTCTTCACCTGCTGGGTTGGGGGAGACCTGGCTACAAGCTAAGCATGGATCAGCAGATCTGGGAGAGTGTGTGCTGAAGGGGCAGGGCAGGAGTGGACTTGTACACCAAGGGACAGTGATGTCAGTGTTATGACACAGACCAAGGACAAAACACACAAAGCCTCAAAAGTTAGAATGAAAACTTTTATCATCACTCCTGTTCTCCCCGCAGAGACTGCGGGGGCGCTAAGGGACACATCAATGGGATCCGGAGGTTCTAAATCTCTTATCAGCTCCTAAAGCCACATATTGGGGTGGCCCAATATAAAGCTACATGTTAGTTTAGTTCCTGAGCAGACCAGCTTTAAAAAACAAAACAAAAAAATACCCTCAAAAACATCAGTCTAATTCACTGCCAGAAACAAAAGCAGGACTTGTCTGAGCAGAAAGGGAGGAGGGCAGCCCAGGTGACCCTAGTTGGAGTTGTGCCAGAGGCGTATCCAGAGGCAGATTCAATCCCAATCCCAGAGTGGGAGGAGGGGTAGCCAGATGCTATTCTAGAGACCCTGTGCCTTATAAGAAGTGACGCCAGGGGAGGGGAAAAAGAAGTTGGTGGCTGAGTTCCTGGGAAAACACCAACCTCCAAAACCACCCTGGCAAGGACAGAGGCTTGGGGGGGCCACCTCTTAAAGGGGTTGGGGGATGGAGCCCAGAAACAAACTTGAAGACTAGAGGGGGAATCCAGAAAGGTTCTCCTTACTACTACTATCTGGGAGCCCTGAGCAGAAAAAGCTCCAAGTCATCCCTGGAAGAGCTGAGCTGGAAGGTGGGCAGGAACCACCTTGCTGGCCTCTCCCAAAAGCAGGGGTCTCAGGCCAGCCACCACTCATTTCTCTACCGTATACCCTCTCCAAGGAGGCCAGTGCTAGCCAACAGGCCACTGGGTGAAGGCCCGGCTGCCCTCTGGGGTAGTCCAGCCCTGCCTTAGATATCCCGCGGGAGCTGGGCAGAAGAGAGTGTTGCTGGAGTGTGCTGGGCCCAGGTTTTCAAGGGCTGGGAATGACTTTTTTAGAGAAAGGGAAAAGGCGGTGTCAGGAACCGAATGGGACGACCTCCACAAAGCAGGCTGGGCAAAGTCCCATGATGGCAGGTCGCTAGGAAGAGGTTCCAGGGGCGGCAGGCCGCTGCTGCTCCCAACCCACACCTGGAAAAAGGGCAAAGAGTGCAGGTTACCCCCCCAGGCCACCGGGCATGCCCCCACTGCCCTCTGGGCTCCTCCTATTCTGCCCGGGCTACTCAGCACACTACTTGGGAGAGTCAGAATGTGCTGTGATAAGAAAATCAAGAGACAGAGAGAAGGCAGCAGGCAGAGACAGATCCCAGCAGGCCCGCCCCAGGTCATCCTTCTTGGGAAAGGTTGCCTGCCTCGCTGTGAACACCATCCACACCTGGCCCCTAGCACAGTGCCTCTGCCCCTCCTTACAGGCATCCAGGAAACCCACCCCCTTGGCAACCAATCAGCTAAGGAGCAGCAGCTTGTCCCTGCTAGAGGTTGTGGTGAGTGCCCTACAACGTTATCTTGCCCTCAGGAACAGTTGGCAGGAACTTGGCAAGGGAGAGGACTGTCAACCAAGAAGAGGCGTGTTTTCCATTCACACAGAAATGTTCAGTGGCCCGGGGAGGAAACACAATTTTTGGGGCGCCAGCAGGACCCCGTAAATACTGTTCCAGCAGATGTGGGTGAGAATCTGGCCCAGCCTTGAGTACCAGCTGCTACTACACGGAGCGCTTAGGGGAAAGGAAGTAAGTAGCTCACTGGTTCTTCAGAAACCCTAGCTATTTGTACACCTAGCTCAGGAGAGTTTAAACAGGTGCCAGTCCTCAGAGACAAGACCACCCATTCCCTATTTCCTGCCCGCCTGCCCCCAGGCCTTGCCTTGACTGAAGGGACCCAGAAAGAGCTCCACTGCAGTCAGATAACAGAAAGTTACTGGCTGGATCATGAGGAGCCCTTTCAAAATCCCAGAGGTCCCTATGAACTGCTGGGAACCAGCAGCCTGGCCCAGTGAGGTGCCAGATCCCCCAGGACAACACTTGTGCAATGTGGCCCACCATCCAAGGAGCCAATGAACACCAGGAAGAGAGCCAAGCAACAGAGTGTAGACGAAGACAGGGTGGGAACCAGGAGCAAGCAACTAGGAAGGAGGGAGCACCAACCAGGCAGGGAAGGGGGACGAAGATAAAGAACAAAGGAGGAACAGGGAGGGTAAAGGGACAAAGCAGGGAGGTGTGCAAAGCAGTGGTCAGCCAGCCGGCCCCAGCACACACAGCAGCTCCTTCATGGGCACAGCTGTGAGAATAGCAACATTCTCCTTCCGCCCATCTTTGCCCTGGCCCGACTCCTACCTGACACTTGTGAGGCCGCTCAGAAGTGTGCACCTGCTTGATATGTCCGTTCAAGTGGTCAGGCCTGGAAGAGAGCCAAGAAGGACTTTAAAACAGAGTATCAGCAAGGCATAGTGGCACAAAACTGTGATCTCAGCACTCAGGAGGCTGAGGCAGGAGGGTCAATGCAAGTTCCAGGCCAGCATGAACTACACAGTGAGTTCAAGGCTAGTCTGAATTACACATTTAAGACCCTGTCTCAAAACAAAACAAACAAAAAACCAAAACAAGGTTTCAAGAAGGGGCACAAACTTAGCCAGACCCCACCAGCTATATCCACTGCTGGGGGACGATTCCTCTTCCCCACCCCAGTATGACAAAGAAAGTCACCAGCCTGATCTGGCTCCATAGGCCTAAGCTTCTCTGCCCTGGTTTTCTCTAGAGGGGGAAGGGAGCATTTGTCTCTGATCTCGCCACATTCTCCCCACACCCCCCAGCAATTCCTAACAGAAACTCAAGGATTTCTAGGACCAGAAGCTGTAGCTTTAACATGAAGCAGGGCTGCCTCGCTGCGGCCTTTCCGGGAGGGGGGGTGTGATTCATTGTCCAGACCAAAGCCCCTTAGAAACTCAGTGTTCCCCTCCCCCAGCCTCTCCCGCCACAGCAGCCAATGAATGCCACCCGGATGGAATTCAGTCCCCAGAGGCCATCGATGGAGCCTTAAGTCCCCAGCTGGGCTGGTAAGCCAGATGCCCGCCAGAGCAGGTGGGCAGGGGCTGCCTGACCGGTAAGACTGGTTCCTGTGGGGCCCCTTGGAGGGAGTTCAGCATCCCTAGGTTCATACACAAGGTCCTCAGGATTCAAGTTAAAAATCACCCTTCTATACAGGCTATTTTCTAAGAGAAAAACAAAACAGCCCTCTGTGTACAAACAAGTGCTCAGTTCCTCATAGGACTCACTAGAAAGTGAATCTAAAAAGAGGTCCTGCCCTCCTTCCATTCTGTGCAGAGAACATAAGAAGGATCTGTGGGTTCCTTGGGCTCTGGAGCCAAGTGAGAGCAGATCAAAGATGATGGCATTAAAGGCAGCTCTGGGTGCCTGGCTCTGGATCTCTGGACCCCAAGGTCATGTGAGGTGCAAAGCTGGAGCCTACTAGATCCAGGATCCCTATTGCTCTGTGCTAGGGGATCTGGTGCCTCAGGAGTGTAAGGAGCCCCAGATGCACTTGTTCCAGTTCCTCCCTCAACAGCCATTTGAGAGGAAGGAAAGTCGAGGGAGGAGCCCAGGCTGCCCCCAAAACGGGGCCCCACGCCTGGTGCCAGAAACACAAAGGGATCCTAGGGAGAAGAATGGCATGGCCTGGTGGCTCTGGCCTGAGAAATCCAGTCCCTTCCCACAAGCCCCAAGGAGGAGAGACAGTAGGGCAAGCCAAAGAACTTGCCTCAAGGAAGAGAAAGCAGCTGTTGGCCACACCATCTCAGAAAGAGGGCCCTTAAGCACTCTCCTAAACCTGGCATAGGCCTGGAAGGGCTAGTGACCCACCCCGCAACAAGTTCTATATCCCCAGGTGTGGTAACTGTCTCAGGAGCCAATACTAAGATGGGGGTGGGGGACTGTCCTTCTCACCTGGAGAAGCCTTTCCCACAGCTCTGGCAGATGTAGGGCTTGCCCACAGACCCATCATGGGACCGCACATGGTAGGACATGCGGTCTTTTCTCTTGAACCGCAGCCCACACACAGGGCAGGAGTAGGGCTTCTCCCCAGAGTGGGACAGCTTGTGCCGGTTGAGATGGTACACATCACGGAAGATCTTGCCGCAGATCTCACATGCCACCTGCTTCCTGGTCCGGCTCCTCTTTCGGGGGCCATCAGGATCCTCAGAGATGGGCAGCCCATTCTCACCCAGCCTTGGAGGAGGAAGGTCGATGTAGCCCAGCTGGAGGCTGGTGACACCATGCTGGGCCTCATGCTGCCGGAGGCGGTTGGCATCAGTAAACACCTTCCCACACAGGCCACAGGGAAGGATGCCTGCCTCCCTGAGGCCCCCAGGGGACCCTAACATTGAGTCCAGCAGGTTGGCCTTCCTTGGGCGACCCCGGCCTCGCTTGCCAGTCAGTGGAGGGGTGCTGGATGCCACACTGGGAAACGGGGAAGTCAGCAGTTGAGGGGACAAGGGTCCAGCCACCATGGGCAAGCGGTCTACCCCTGGTAACACAGGCAAGGAGGCTTGGCTTGAAATGGCTGTACCAGCAGCTCGGGCAGCTTCTTCTTCAGACTGCATGCTGCCTGCGATGCCATTGCTGTTGGCAGCCAAGGCTGCCCCGTTGGTCATGTCCAAAGGGAAACCCAAGTCTGAAGTCCCAGGGGGCCGAAAGAGCATGATGTCTGCCCGAGCAGGGGGCACCAGGATCTGCACATTAGACTGTTTGATGACTTCCTGGCAGATCTCGATGACCGATCTCATCAGCAGGAACTTGGCGGCAGTCATGAGCTCGGGGAAGCTCTCCAGGCGGACCACGATGCGGGAAGTGTAGGCGAAGTCCAGAATGTCCCCAAACACCTTGGAGCTTATGGTGTGCATCTCAAGCTCTCGGCTGCCCCCGGGCCCGCCGCCTGGGGCTGCAGCTGCGCCCCCCACATCAGCGGGACCCCCGTCAGCAGCTCCGCCATCGCCCAACTGGGCGCTGAACACCGACTCAAAGTACTCGCTGCAGGCGGCCAGCACAGCACGGTGCGCTGGGAAGCTCTCATCGCCTACCCGCAGGAGCACGTCGCAGAAGCGCCCACCGTTTTTGCGCTGCTGGTTCAGATTGTGCAGCATCTCCGTACTGTGTCTGCTCACCTGGTAGGTGTAGCAGCCCGACGGGCCGCAGGAAGCGTCGTTTACTCGTTCCATGGCCGCCGCCCCCTCCCCACTTGCCGGGCCGCGGCACCCGCCCGCCCCCTCCCTTCCCCTAAGCCGCTAGAAGCGGGACGCAGCGGAAGTGTCCACACTCTCCACACGTGCGGGCCCGGGGCTCTGTAGTCTCGCAGGTGCGCCCTGCGCACACGCCCCCTACCAGGATCGGAATGTCTAGACTGCTGGGTGCACCACCCCACACATTGCTGCCCCCACCCACGTCGGAACGCGCGCGGCTCTCTTCTCTCAGCCTGCCCGCCTCCCCGTCTTCTACCTTCCGGGAGGGGGGACGCGAGCAAAGAGGTGCGCCCCTCCTGCTACCACGCCTGCCACCTCCCCTCCCGCCCGCCAGGCGGCGCCGGCGCGCGGCCAAGAGGCGCGCGCGCACGTGGGGAGGAGGAGGAGGAGGAGGAGGGGGTCCTCCGCGCAGGCGCGCGCGCGCGTTCCGCGGCTTTTCCCGGGCCCGCTGGGGGCGCGCGCTGCGTCCCCTGCAAAGCGCGAGCCGGGGCGGGGGCGCTGGAGCAGAGGAAACAAAAGGCGAAGGCGGCGGTGGCGGTGGCGAGGCGCGCACGGGGGCGGTGGCACAGGCTCGGTCCTGGAGTCTGGCGGCGGCGGCGGCGGCAGCTGAAGCAAGCGGGTGGCGGCGGCGGCAGCAGGATGGGCCCTTCCCCAGGCCAGGAGCAGGCGGCGGCAGAGCGGCGGCGCTGCGGCCCCGGGCTCCGTGTGTTCGGAGCGGAGGAAAGATGGCAGCGGCTGCACTTCCTCTTGCACTTTCACCCCTGGGGGGAGGAGAAGGAGGGGGCGATACCAACAACACCCCCCCTCGCTTGCAGAAAAGAAAAACCCGAAACGGCCTGCTCGGCGTGGGGTCCCCCGGTCCTGCACGTGTGCGCTGGGATCCCTAGCCCCGATCGCCCGGCGCTACAAACTTTCCACTTTCTTTGTGCCGAGCGGGCCCCCCCCCCTCACCCAGCCGAGGATGCACGTCCCCCCTTCCCTATTTATACACCCCCCCTGTAGCTCCGCTCCCCCCGCTTCCTGCCCCCCCTCCTCATTCCCCAGCTCCGCCAATGCTAGCGCAGCCTGAGCCCCCGTCCGGCCCCCGCCTCCCCACCCCGCCCGCGGGTCCGGGGGCTGCAGTCTCAGCCCCCCCTCCCCAGACCAATGCAAACGTAGCTCCGAGCCAGCAAACCAACTCCCGCTGCCCCTCCCCTGCCCGCAGAGAGTGGCGGTGAGCGAGTGGGGTGGGGGCTTAAGGGTACAGATCCAGGCCCCCAGTCTGCTGTACGCACCCGCCGGTCAGTCTGGCGTCGGTACCCTTCGTATCCCCGTTTAGATGAGCGAAATCTCCAGCAGTCTTCAGCGATTGCTTCCCAGTTTCCAACCTCAGATAGGGCCCGGGGTCTTGCCTGGGGGCAGACCCAAACGAACCTCGGTGGCTGCTGCCGTAGCCCATGCAGTAACCGAAGTGGATGGGTGCGCACCCGGGAGAGCTGGGAAGATGAGGGCAAAGGCCACCCTCTCCCCCAAACCACTGCTCCTCGAGCTTTGTGCCTCGGGGAAAGGGAAGGCACCAGCGCAGGAAAACAACCCCATAAGGGCAAAGGACTAGAGCGCGACTCCCAGCGCATCCCAAGTCTCCAAGGAAGTGGGGGTACCGGAGGACTCGGGGAGCGCCTTCAGCCCTTTACAAGCCCGGAGCATCCTCTGCGCACCCAGCCCCAAGAGACGCCAAGCGCTCTGGCCATGGGCCCCGCCGCCAGGCCCGGGCGCTTTGTCCCTTTCATGCTACGGCGCGAAGGTTGGACATAGAAATTCTCCAGGCCGGGAAGCGCTGGCGGCCGCCGAAGAACCTCGCGGCTCAGAGCCTGGGGTTGCAGGCGGGAAGTTCCCACAGTTGTAAAGAGGGAGCGAAGTATGTGTTCCAAACTTTCCACGGTTCCAAACTGAGCGCTTCCATTAAAAGAAGCGGTGTGTGGGGAAAAGCATTCTGGGTATTAGCATGCAAATGAATGGGCCCGGCTTCCAAGCCGTTCGGGATTCCCACTGCCGCGCGCCTAGTTTGCGCCGAGCTACACGCACCCTGGGGCTTCCGGGCGTGGCGCCGCTGAGGGACGCGAGTTCAAATTTTAGACCTGCGCCCTCTGGTTGTGTGCCCTGGTACCAGTCGCTTGACTTTTGACCCTCAGTTAATTGAGCTGGTTTCCTAACCTGTGCACGGGAGACAGCAACACCTGTCTCCGGAGGGGAGAGGTTCAAAGATGTCTGCACATGGGTGTGCCGAACTCTTGGTGAGTGAGGCCTGAGGACTGTTTCTGAACCTGGAGTTTGGAGATGAGTATGTTTTGGGATTTTTTTATTTATTTATTTTTTGTACCAGGGATCAAACTCAGGACCTGGTGCTTGGCAGACAAGCGCTTATGCCGCTGAGCTGTTTCTCTGGGCCTGAGATAAGTATCCTGCTGCCTTAACCTCAGCCACAGATTCTGGAAACTGGCTATTTATTTTGGGTGGAGCAGCCCCCAAAAAAGAAGGAATATGATTATTGAGTATCAACTTTATATATACTCTCTCCAAGGTACATGTGGGTACTCCTGTTTACCGAAGGAGAAATCGGAAAATGAATGACTTGCCCAAGGCCACACTTCGTGTGGTGGAACCAAGATTTGTAAGGGACTTGACTGACCCCTTTCCTCATTGGTCAGTGGCTTCTGAACCTCATCAGTGTCTCCCGTGAACCATGCACTGGGTCTGTCTTCCATGTTTACAAAACAGGGTGCCCGTAGCTAGCTGAATTATAGAGAACTTGCTCATCCTGGAAAGGTGAGTTGATAGGATGTTCTCCGGGTGCTCATGGCCCAGGGCCCCATTTTGGGGAAGTGGCTAGATGGCACTTCTGATCCCCACCCAGGGCTGCAGGTTTAGCTTAGTGAGACAAGAGTGGCATACACAGGGCCCTGGGTTCAGTCTCAGCAATGCACTCACAGAGTATGCTGAACCCAGCCCAGAGCTTTTTACCACCAACTTCCATCCTGCCTACCTGAGCATTCATCGACTGGTTTGACAAACCTCTCTAGTGGAACACTGAGTTAACCTTATTTGTGGAACTCTTTCTTCCTCAACATCTGTTGAAAGAGCCTAGCACCTTGTTCCCAATTTCTAGGCCACGCCTTGAAAACATGCAGCGCCCAAAATCCCCAAGTCTCCCTCCTGCTGCTGGCCTGTTGGACCTTCTTCTGTTGTCATAGAAACCAGGCACCCAGCAGGGGCCGGGGAGATGGCTCAGTGAACTAAGTGCTTCCCTGGCAAGTGCAAGGGCCTGAGTTCAATCCCCAGTTCCGCAAAAAAAAAAAAAAAAAAAAAGAGAAAAAAGAAACCAGGCACCTCAGTTTTGGCTGTACACCAGCTGGATAATGAACTGGGAACATCCTTGTCTTCCAGACTAAGTGGAACTGTCAAGGTCATTCATTCATTCATTCACTCATTCACTAGATTGATATTGATTGAGCACCTAGAGAGCACCAGCTTCTCCCCCACCCCGTGCAAGGGATATGGCAGTGAACAAGCTAGACCACAAACCCAACTCTTAAGAACCCTGAAGTCTCAAGGAGAAGATAGAGAAGAAAACAATAAACTCTTCTCCTGGTTCCCCTCTCTAGCTCAAATTCTCCCATCTTCTGAGACCCCGTTCAAATCTACTAACCCAGACCATCTTCAAAAGCTCAGAGCCAAATGTCCATGGCTCTCACAATGCTTTTCTTCTGATTATAGAAGTGATATATACATT